AGCCCACGTCTAGTGCTTTTGGTGAAACCGACAGTTTTTCCGTATGGCCTAGCCATTTACCTAGGGGCATTCCAAAAATTAGCCAGATGTACAGACGGTAAATGCCCTAAAATCTGTGTTGAATTGACCCTCTGTTTTTCCATGAAATACAAAGATTATATAGGGAAATCCGACTGGTCAGTTTTTACCCCTTTACAAAGTTTTCCTAGATATGCCGACTTTGTTATGACACTCCTAGGCATACTCCTCCCACCTCACAAAATATAAAAGGGGGGGGGGGGTCGTTCGGCAAATGTTTTTTCGTAATATAACCCATATAAGGCGCCCGTCAGTCGAGGTCAGTTTTGACCACTCTCCGTGGACTGATGTTTAAAAGACGTCAAATAATTGTTTAAGTGTTAAAGAAAAATAGTGTAATCGGGGGGAGGAGGAGTGTGTCTCTCTCTCTCTCTCTCTCTCTCTCTCTTTCTCTCTCTCTCTCTTTCCTCTATATGATGTTTGATATTAAGGGGGTAGTATCACAAAGAAAATGGAGAGAAACTAAAAAATACGCAAACAAAAAAAAGTGGTACAACATAAGATTGTACAGTTATACTACAGCTTATAGTTTTGTGTGCATATTTTTACTAAAAAGTTTTTCAAATTGGCATCCTTTTTGGTATCCTGTACTGTCGGAATAACGAACCAAACTAAAATGGTTTAGCTTTTTGTTCTATTTTCTTCACTTCACCTGCCCCGTATTCCTCCAAGTTCCGATAAGCAACTTTTTCATTTACATTTTTTAAAAAATTGAAAAAAAAGTTGACATTGACATAATGTGTCTTGAACCCGTGACACCCTCATAGTACCCTATTACACGAATATCTTCGCTATCTAATCCCATAAGAACCATGACACATTTATTTCTTTATTTTACATTTACATTACATTTTTACACGAACAGGCTCTAGTATTATTTTAATTTTTTTTATCTCAAATTAGCGATTTCCACAGCTAAACAAAAATTTATATATAATAATTAAGGCCTGAATAGTTTTATTATATCTATATAGAGCTAAATCTAGATTCTAGAGATAGAATGTATGTTAAGTCTAGTTTTCCGTAGCTCGATCTAGACCTAGAGATAGATTAATCCCATGTCAGTTGATAACAACCATCATGGATATTGTTGTAAAATATGTGTATGGCGAATACAGTAAACAAGCAGGAACAAAGAATTTTAGATCTTCCCAAACAAAACATAATACAGTAAAAAACAGTCGCGAACAAAAATTGGACGAGAAAAAAAAAACAATTGAAGTAAACTATTTTATTTTAATATCACAGATATAATTAAGCAAACGTGCAGAGATAATTCTTAAAAAGCGAAATGTATTTTAAATAGAAAGAGACAAATATTTATGTATCATTGTATTAAGAATATATGGACGAAATTTAGCTGAGTATTAAAATACGGTTTCTGCGACTGTAAATATGTATGGGCTTAAGAAATTAAATTTACGTGATTTTATTATTATTTTCTAAAATACTGTTTTGCTTAAAATTTGAAAAATAATTCTGGGTAGCTACTAAAAGCAAGTTAAAAGGGGGCACACTACTTATGTGTATAAGTATAAGCATTTTAAACATATATTATATTACGTTAAGGGATAATGGTATGTACATTTTGCAAAGCGCGTAAAGTTTTAAATACGTTCTGGAAATTAAACAATAATAAAAAGTAGACATAGTTTTCTCATTTATATTATCAAAAGAAATGGCAAAAATGTTTTATTTTATTTATGTTGTCTGTTGAATAAATTTTAATCTAACAAAGATAATTTAATTGACATTTCTGTAGACTCTTTTATTCGTTAATTTAATGTCTACATAGGATTTAAATAATATACATAATTTTATTCACATTAAACCACAATAAATATTATTTAAGTAGAAGTATTTAGATTGTGCTAAATAAAATAATAGTGCATAGAGATTATTGAAAAAAAACACACATCTAATTTGAAAAGTAATTAAAACAATATTTAGTAGATAAAAAAATATCAGACCATTGTATGTATCGTCAGAATAATTTTTTTCTTAATCTATGTAGTCTTTACAATAACATAAATAAGGTGTTTCGTTTGTCAACAATCCAATTATTCTAAAGCTATATATATATATATATATATATATATATATATATATATATATATATATATATATATACATGAAATCTACTTTAGATTAAAAAAAAACAACAAAGGAAACTATAATAATAATCAGCAGTTTAACAAGACTTCATAGATTATGTGGTCAATAGATTATGTAGAAAATATGTTTGCTGCACGATCGCCTCCTTGTACTTGATAGTTTAAAATAAACATGCTTTATAATATTCAAAATTAGTTAATATAATTAATAGATACATGTATTATTAAGTTTGATGAAAATGAAAACAAAAATACGTAACAGCTACTGTAATAATTTATTTTAAAATTCAAAAAAATCAACCATAACTGAATCTATTATTTTAAATCTTCAATTCTATTATGCTAGGTTATTAAACCTAATAAGTAAATATATTAAATGTGAAGCATTTTGTTTAGTTTTAGTAGATTTATCCACTTACATGGATGTTACATTTAATAAAACTTTAAGTTTATAATTTTACTCTTTCTTGTATAATACTTAAATTTTTAATTTGTTTTTACAAATGAATCCCTGTGACAACAACTAAAATGGAATATTTAAAAAGAAAAAAAATGAATTCGGTAAAGCTTTCTCGAGTGTTCTAAAAGAAAAATGACCCTATGGACGCCATGATGACCATCAGGACACAACTGATTAAAGCTGCAGCTCCAGATTCTGAAAAAAAAAGTTATTTTAAAAAGTGTACAGCCCCATTCTTACTTAACTGTGAAAATCTATTCCATGTAAGGAAAATGTGTATCAATGGAGTAAAATGTAAATAAAACATGATGAAAACATGCATTATGGAGACAGCAGAATCATGACAATAATGAGATAACAAATACAATGTTTATTAATATAAGTAATTACACATAGCACAAGCATATAAAAGAAACAACTTATATAGAAAAAGATGATAAATGAGTTTATTCTAATACATTCAAAATACTGTTTCGACATTTCAAGCTAAAATAATTTGATACAACTGAATCAGCTTAACTCAAGAAGTTATCTTTAATAGAAATTTGACCTATGCATACTTTAATTCGCATCTGATATCTTAAAAAATAATTGTATTAGTAAAATATGGCCTTATCAATTGAAGAGTGATGTACTTTAATTGGTCTTATACATAAGTTAAAAAATAATTTTATTCTTCAATATTATATAAAATATATAAAAACTTCATGCTCATATTTGAGTTTAACATAATATGTTGTATATCGCAAGCTGTGTGGGTACCGGTGATATATATATATATATATATATATATATATATATATATATATATATATATATATATATATATATATATATATATATATATATATATGTGTGTGTGTGTGTGTGTGTGTGTGTGTGTGTGTATGGTTCCATGACAAATGATCTCAGACAAAATATCTCAGACAAAATATCTCAAGGACAATTGATGTCAGGACAAATGATATCAGGACAAATGATTTCAAGGACAAATGATCTCACGGACAAAACATACCAGGACAAAATATATCAGTACTAAGATAAAGTCATTACGAAAAAAAAATTTTTGTAAACGAAATTTGGACTGAGGCTCCCTCTGCAACTGACCAGTATCAATATCGAAATTTAATAGCACGCAAGCCTTCAACACATACATTTGTGTCGATTCATTTTCCAAACAGGCGATTTTTGTTTTCTAAATTAATTTTATAATAAAAATGATTTTCCAACACTGGGACATGCGAGGTATATTTCACTAGTCCATGTGTCATTTGCATACGATATATATTTTACAACAGTAAACACATTACTAACCTACGACGTCTACATTGATCGGATTACTAGTGCTAGAAGCGCCATTGTATGTAGCAATGCATGAATAGTTCCCATTATGAGTGATTCCCGTTGCATTAGTTATCGTATAGCTGTCGGTTTTAATTAAAGTGTCAACAGTGCCTCTAAAAAGAAAAAAAAGAATAAATCAAATAATTTAAAACACTTATAATAAATTTTATTGACTATATGTGATAGAAGAAAAAAATACAATAAAATAAAACTGTTGGTCGAAAAAACGCTTGCTATGTTTTCGCATCAAGTATGGTTTTATTGATGTGCTATGCCACTTTTTGTCAACACAAATACCAAAAGTGTAAATAGCTTTTTGCGTAGGGTGGAATAATTTTAATACTCAGTGTTGAACAGAAATAAATGCAGTAAACGTCTTCATGAGATGTGGGAACGATTACCTAAATATGTGATCCATTGGTAACGGACTATGTTTAAATGAAACAGTACTAAACTATTCGTTTAATATTTTTTTTCTATTACAAACAAGTGTTACTTTTTCCACGAGTAGGTCCACCCGGTTGTAACATTTGAGCCAGTGTTACACTTGATGACGTAGTTACCGCCTGCACTATAGATGGTCCCATTAGTAACACGGGAGACAGTGGGTTTCATAACTGTTGGCAATTAATATAACATAATTAACTATTAATTCTAATGTAACAAGGGACATAAGTGTTTTACTACACTAATAGAAAATTAAATCATAATTTAAAAATGTATTTTAAACGTATAATTGAAACAGCAAAACTTGCCGGCACTATGGTATACGTTTAGAAATAAACTGTTGTGTTTTTTTAGAATTTATGAAATTTCAAACTTTTGACAACTAAATAGGAAATGAAATAAAATTGTAAAAGTTAACATTTACAATGCTTCTATGTCAATATGATATAATTATAGTGTTTTAATTAAAATTGCAATTTAAAACTGAAATCGTGTTGTTATTGAAATTAAATTTTCTTCAATTATTTATTTAAATAAACGAATAGTAACTAAACATTTTAACTCATTGTATACAGGGATTTAATCTTAGCTTTAATCATGAAAATAAAACAAACTAGCACTCAAATTATGATATGACAATATACGCACGTATGCCTACTTACTTGTGTAAAGGGAGAATTAACTATTTATTTCAAAAGTTAATAAATCAGACCCCATTATTCGATCTGAATAAAAACTTACGGTATAATAACAAAACTTACTAGCATGAAAAGACGAAATATCCGTCGTGTACCGGTTCTTCACAGCCCGACACTTGTACACTCCAATGTCGGCCTCCGTGAAATTGTAGAGTTGGATCTTCCAGTCAACTTGGCCAGCAATTTTTGTGTCATTGATCTCCCATATGTATGACGTAGTAGAATCACCTTTAGTCGCACCGCATGATAAAACCAGGGTTGATCCAATAGTTAAATTAGGAGTACTAACCTTTGTTAAAACTGGGTCGGAAAGATAGTTAGTGCCTGAAATAAAAATTTGAAAAAAAAAAGTCTAGTGACCATTTAAGCGCAATTTCCTTATGTTATCCATAACAATTTTTAATTTTTTGTGACCGAACAAAAGGATATTTTTTTGCGCTAAAAACCTACACGATGCTCAGTTTAAACATCATCCTAGGCCTACAAGATGCTCAGTTTAAAATATATTTTTAAAAAGAATTGTGACCGAACGAAAGGATATTTTTAAAACCTTTCTTCGGCAATATTGGTCTAAATTATAGCAGGAATCGATTGGTAAATGTTTCAAGTCGCTAAGTTGTCTGGTTGCCGAGATATGGAGCAAAAACTGCATTTGTTCGAGGTTTTTTGGCTTTTCCGGGAAATCCAGGAAGGAATTCCGGGAATTTTTTGGCCCACAATCATCCTTGGAACTTGCTTAACATATTTGCTTTGTAACTAGTCCTCGATATTGCTTCGTTGAGGAGGAGATACGACTTAAAGGCTGCGGACACACATCCATACATCTAGAAATGACGAGTTAATAATCGCAATTGTCCGTATGGAAATTGCGCTAAAAATATGATGCATAACTTATAGATACATTTTTACTTTCTCGTATATACAGAGTATAGAGAAAGTCGTGTAATCGTGCAAAACAAAAATCGAGATTTATGCAAATCTTGACGTGTTACACCTCCCTGAATCGGAAAAACATATGGTGGCGGCGCCACGGGAGGGTGCGATTTTTCTCGATATACGGTATATAAAAATAAAAGTCCATTGCGATTTGACATCGTTCATCCGATCGCCATCAAACTTTGGGGAGTGGATTAGAAAACTTCTGGTGAGGTTTCTGTTAAAAACAAAACCTTTTTTTTTATTTCGCAAGGGCGGTGCAACGGGATGGTGGGATTTTTCTCTAAATACGGTATCTATATATACATAAAAGACGAGACAGTTTATCCGGATGCCCTAAAACTTTAGGGAGTTGATGAATACTCCCGAGAAGGTTTCTGGGGTGGGAGAGGGTAGAGAATTGGTGGGTGGGGGGGGGGGGGGATTTAATTTTGCAGGATGCGATTTGGCGCCCTGGTCTTTCCCGTGAGCGCTATGGCGAATACGTTTGATCTAAACAGAGTGATAGATAATGTATAGGATGGGGCGTTTCAAACGTTCACTAAATTGAGCTAGGGGTGTCCGCCGGCGCCCTGGTAGGGTGCGATTCGGCTGCAAATAAAAATTTCTGTTTCGGCCTAAAAGGCTCCTATGGGCCGCTGAGAACCATGTAATACATTTTATTTTTAAAATCAGAAAAATTAAAACCAAGTATAGATTATTAACTGGGATGTTTCTTTTTGTCCTTAAAAAAATCCAAACAGTTTCATCAATTTGTGAATGATGCAACTCAGCATTTATTTTTAGACAATCCAATCAGAAATTGAGATTGAGCATCTAATAATAGATCATTAGTACATATTGCATCATTCACACTGATATTTAAAACACGTTAAATAGTATTTTTCGTGTTAAAGAAAAAAAAATCTTGTTTATTTGTGACACTTTAGCAAAGGACGAAATCTGCATAATTGATAACAGGATGCTATTTAGCACTCTGGGTTATCCTGTGAGCACGATGGCGCCTTTTAGGTTTTAGGAGCCAGGGGCCTTTTGCTGCGCCTATGCGGAAGTATAATCGGGGGGGGGGGGGGCTCTACGTCTCTGACACATATGCGGGCACCGAAGTGTGTTCAAACTTATTATTTCGGTAAGTGATTAATGTACACTCAAGGTTTTCATTCGGTAGTGTAAGTAAACCAGTGTCCCGATATTTATGATCCAAGCGGAGGCATTGTTGAAAACAAGGTCACGCATCTGAGAATATAGGATTGGCAACGCATGAATGAAACTCTTCTTATATGTTTCGACGGACTTTCTTATATTCCCGCGGCAAAGCGCGGGTACGGGTACGCTAGTATATATATATATATATATATATATATATATATATATATATATATATATATATATATATATATATATATAATGTGTATATATGTGTATGATTAGTACACTTTTCGAGTCCATGGGGAAATTGAAGTATAGTTTAGCTGTTTCTGTGCACTTGGGGCATGAAGGAGTAGTGTGCTAAACACTATACTCAGCAGCCTTTACTTCTAGTAACGCAAGTTAGGTACCCAACAGATCTTGGACGTTCTACTGAATGAAACCAGATTCGAACTTGAAACTTTCGAATTATCATTCTGGCGCTCAAAAATTTAGCGACGCCATCCCGTGTGGGTACATATGTGTGTGTGTGTGTGTGGTTTTGTGTTCGTGTTACATTTTTTATAAACCGTGCTTGTCTCATTTATGAAACATCTCAGGAAATCACGAGATATCATAATGAAAAGTAGTGAAGCAGTAACATTTGTGATGTAAAAAAAACAAAATGAGGATCTGTCTTTAATTAGATGTCTCTAAAGTAAATAAACTTACTGACATCGATCGATAAAGTAGCTGAGGTTTTTGATATACCGTTGTAAGTAGCAGTACATAAGTAAGAACCACTGCTTGCTTTAGAGGTGTCAACTGTGTAGGTGTTCGAAGTACTAATATTTTTAGAAGTTGATCCATCCTTTTGGAATATACATATTTTAAGCATTGTACTTTAGGTTTTATTTTTTTGGAAAAAAAAGTGTGACTAAAAAGACATGCATAAAAACTTTTTAATAGCTAGGTGTTATAAAAAATATTTTCTTTAAATATAAAAATATATTAAATACTTCTACTATATTTTAAGAAGAGACCCACGTCTTTACAAGCTTTTAATTAACAAGCTTCCTCTTCCAGTCTCTCGTCATAAAGAGATACGCTCGAGTTAATTTTATGGTACCTCTAACTGCCAGAAGTCAGCACTTCGGTAAAAGCGTAAAGACAATGCAATCTGGCATTATATTTGACTACATTGGATGCCTAATTAAATTTTAAAAGTAATTAAAATTATTTTATAATTAGTAGGCATCATTTATCAACTTTTCAGCACTATTATATGCGTTATAACAGACAGACAGACAGACAGACAGACAGACAGACAGACAGACAGACAGACAGACAGACAGACAGACAGACAGACAGACAGACAGACAGACAGACAGACAGACAGACAGACAGACAGACAGACAGACAGACAGACAGACAGACAGACAGACAGACAGACAGACAGACAGACAGACAGACAGACAGACAGACAGACAGACAGACAGACAGACAGACAGACAGACAGACAGACAGACAGACAGACAGACAGACAGACAGACAGACAGACAGACAGACAGACAGACAGACAGACAGACAGACAGGCAGGCAGGCAGGCAGGCAGGCAGGCAGGCAGGCAGGCAGGCAGGCAGGCAGGCAGGCAGACAGACAGACAGACAGACAGACAGACAGACAGACAGACAGACAGACAGACAGACAGACAGACAGACAGACAGACAGACAGACAGACAGACAGACAGACAGACAGACAGACAGACAGACAGACAGACAGACAGACAGACAGACAGACAGACAGACAGACAGACAGACAGACAGACAGACAGACAGACAGACAGACAGACAGACAGACAGACAGACAGACAGACAGACAGACAGACAGACAGACAGACAGACAGACAGACAGACAGACAGACAGACAGACAGACAGACAGACAGACAGACAGACAGACAGACAGACAGACAGACAGACAGACAGACAGACAGACAGACAGACAGACAGACAGACAGACAGACAGACAGACAGACAGACAGACAGACAGACAGACAGACAGACAGACAGACAGACAGACAGACAGACAGGCAGGCAGGCAGGCAGGCAGGCAGGCAGGCAGACAGACAGACAGACAGACAGACAGACAGACAGACGGACAGACAGACCTTGAATTCATATTGTATTGGTTTTGAGGAGTCCAGAAACTCTGGTACTGGATCGGTCGTACAGGTTAGTGTTGGCCCGACTGCTCCTACATTGTAGGTGGTTGCTGTAGCTATGTCACCATTTGAATCTTTCGCACTTAAAGTTGCTGAACTAAGTACGATGGCTATTGAAACAAAATAAATCTTATCAAATACATACACAATAATATAACATATTAAACAGTGTTTGTCCTAAAGCGTATGATACAATATTAAAATTATAAATACCGTTATTTGGTATGGGTAGACTATTGTTGTTTGGTGAATTTGCGAAGGTGACTTTATTGGTAGTTTCCAAGGTGCAGTAGATTCCACTAAAACGTACAGAAATTGGAAATTCTACCGACAAAGATGATTTATCGCTGTTGGTTAAACCACCACCAGCTGCGGTCTAAATAAATTCAGATAAAAAAAATATGTACAAATTGTGATTACGTGGTTACGTCGATTTCTTTACATGTCAGATATATATATATATATATATATATATATATATATATATATATATATATATATATATATATATATATATATATATATATAACACTATTTTATTTAAAATCTCAGTGTACCCGAATAATGACTGAGCCTGTGTAACCCATTGGTACACCCATACAAAAGAGTGTGACGTAATTTCCCGTGAATATACTACTGCCACTGGGTGTGAAACCAAGACTGAGTGTACCTTGATCTAAATAATGATTCGGAGTAAAATTTAATAATGAGTGTTGAAATTATTATTATTTTTTTTAAAATGAGGGTAGATTGGACATGAGTGAATTTAAAAATAAATGTTTATGATTACTATTGTTTATTATAAAGCAAACGCTTTTACTACTATCTTTAGTTTAGAAATTAATAATATACTATATTACAGGAAAAGTGTTATCATATATTATTTTTTTTAAAAACATTAAGGTAGGAAGTAAAACTTTTGTTTCAAAACTACCAATACTTTTGGCATAATAAACTATGTCAAAGATAGGAACATGTTTTAATTTTAAACACAAACACACAACATCATTAAAGTATTAACCGAATAAGCCTCAATATCTATCTTTACAGAATGCTCTGTTATACATGAATTGATTCATCATTTGTGTAGTTTCAGAAAGCAGTGGTATACTAGTAACTGTTTTCTAAAAGAACTATTTACATAAACTGTTCAAATTGCAAATTCTCACAAGCTGTATCCGATGTTCCTCCTCCAATTACTGCGACGTTGACAGGGTCACTAACGTCGGAGTTTAAGCTTGTTGTGTCTGAAATAGCTTGACATCTGTTTGAGTGCCAGGAAAAAAATTACACATAAGATAAGCATTTAATCAAACACATTCAAATATCCAAAGCAAATAACTATCAGCCAAATCAGACCCAAGCGTGGTAAATCAAGTAAAAAGCATGTGTTTAGCGTTGTTTTTTTTGTGTCGAAATTATGTTAGACAGAGTAAACACGTATACCTGTATATGATTTTCTTCATGATTTAATTTTCTACATCTATAGTATAGCTAGAAAAACAGTATTGTTTAGACTTTAGACATAAAGGGGAACGGGCAGTTACCAGTAAGACTCCTTCGAGTTGCACTTTGATTGAACCATAAATCGGACACATTTTCTTTTCAAGTATTGTTGTGTAGAGAAGCTTTCTTTCTTCATTTTTTAAAAGAGGCGTAGTGTACACATTTAAAATAAAATGTACCAACTAAGCAGTTGTAAAATTATTTTAGTTACGTTAAAAACCCATTTTTTTGTTCACGAATGTTTTAAGTGATCCAACTCTGTTACTCGTTAAATGATTATTATCGTGTTTTTGATAGTGTAGCGTATATCTACGGTGTCGTTTTGCTATCAAATAATTTAGAGTCTAACTATCTGATTTTTAAATAAAGGAAGAACGGTTATCGTAGGACATATTTGTATCTAAAATATAACAAATGGCTTGTACGTATAGGCTCCTGCAGCACTGATTGTAAGTGTTTGCGAACTTCCGACTTTTGCATCGCCCTGGTACCAATTGTAAGAGACTGCACCAGGAGTTGTGGAACAGGACAAATTTCCCGTGGTGCCAGTGAATAGATATGGACCTCTCTCTCCCTCGATGTTGACTGTCGGCTTTGTTAGTTTTACTGTAGCGAAAAGAAACAACAGAGAACATGTGAATAAAATGTGTGTAAGTCGAAGAGAATTAAGCGTATTTTTAGTGAGTTTACTAAAGCGCGCGAATCTCAGAATGTTTAATACAATTATACACACACATACACACATACGCTCACATACGCACACTATAACTCTCAATCTATCTATCTCTCGCTCTCTCACACGCAATCGTATACACTTGCACATCCAGGCTAAAATAATTACTCTCGCATAGACAGACACGCCTGCATTGATTTGTTTAACGTTTTATGATCTTACAAAAATGTTTTATAATTAGATGAACCTTTTATATTAACATTTTTGTCACGATTCACATTTTGTTTATTTGATATTGTGTTGTCTATAAGCAAGTAGATGTCAAAACATTGTTACATTAAGAAAAGAAAACACAGAATTACAATTTTTTTTAGATTTATTAATAAAAAGCAAAATTATAAACTAAAACTAGATAACCCATTTCGTAACAACGATTCAGATTCTTTTTTTTTCAAACAACGCAAGGGAATGCATTCATTTTTAGTTTTATAACAGTTTCAGTTATTTTGCAGTTAATTCTCTTTAAATAAAAGCATAAACTGTCAACATGCTCGGGTTGGAAAAGCTTATGGCTGCTAAACTGAGAAGTCCCGAGCTCAAACCCGATGACATATGAGGCGCTAGAGCAACTCATCTGGAAGAGAAAATTCCCAAATACAACGACTGCTTCCCGGTAGGTTGTGTTTAGATGGAAACATTCACAAAGTTGAGATCATTTTGAACGGGCCATGTGACGCATGACTTGTTGACACGAAGTAATTAATTGAGATGGAGGAAATACCATCCAACAATAAAAATAATACAAAATAAAGGTATTACAAATAGCCTTGAAAAGCAAAGCAATTAAAAATAAACCGGGAGTGATCTCCCCTAAACTTTCTCGAATATTCTTATAAAACTTGAAATATAGACATGATTTTTGTTTACTTAAACTTTTAAAAATAGAATAGAATCTCATAGAAAAAAAGAATTGCGCACCAAGCGAACGCCAAAACAAAATGTGCATAATAATGCGCAATATTATTAGTACTTTATAAATTTACATGCGTTTTTTGAGAAATCGAAAATTGCGTAAATTAGTACTTCCGGTCAACGGAAATTACTCAAAATTTGACAGAAGGTAGAGAAGAGAAGTGGATCTTTTACTTACATGTGAAATTTCATTTAGCTATCTGAAATAGTACTTAAGTTAAAGGCTTTTAAAAAATTCAAAGTAGAAAAAGTACCACTTCCGGTTATCGGAAATCGCTCAAAAGTTGATCAGAATCTACAATTTTGATAAAATACTCATATATGAAATTTCATCAAAGTAGCTTTAACAGTACTCAAGTTATCGTGTTTACACACAGACAGATTTGCACACAGACACACAGACATACGGACAAGATTGCAAAATTATGTTTTTCCGTATCAGTGGGGTGTAAAACGTCGAGATTTGTAAAAATCTCGATTTCTTTTTTTTGCACGATTACAAGACTTTCTCTATACGAGAAAGTAAAAACTAGTTATTAGTCATTCGGAGTATTAGTCGCCTAGTGATTAAAGAGTGACCAATGCTGCTACTAAAGAAAGCACATTTGTTTTAAATTTTTTATCTTGAGAAATTGACTGAAATAAATGAAACCAAACATCAGTGACCAAACTTTAATGACTAACTTAAAATTGAATTTTATTTGCTCTGTCTTCAAAACGAGCTTATGTGGACAGTTTGAACAAAATCTATTTTTTTAGCAGTAGGTCAATAATAAATTACAAAATTGGTCACAAACCCACAAACGAACATACGTATATTGTTAGCTATACAACAAGATAGACATCACACAGTGAGACGACTCTATAAGCATTGACTAAAAATTATTTGTGGGAAATGTGTTCTAGTTACCGCCACATCCAGTTCTAATTGGCTCAAAGCCAGCGTTACAAGTACATTGCTTGGTTGTAGCGTCACAAGTAGCTGATGTAGAATCAGTTGCCACACAATCACCAATACCGCTGCAGGGGCCACAGTACACATAGGGCTTGAAGGCTAAGAATAGTTATAAATACTTTACTTCACGAGTGGATGCAAATGTTTCATACTAAAAATAATTCACACATCAAATTACTTACTAATAGCACCGTAGCCAATAAGACGATAAAAATTAAAAATACACAAATGTAAAATAAAATAAAATCATTTTAATTTTCCATTAACACTTTTCTTTGGCAGCAAGATCAGCAAATCGGGGAAGGGGGGGGGGGGTGGGAGAGGAGGACATGCGTTCTAGAATTAATATAGCCCGCTGCGCTTTCACAGTTCTGCGACCCAATTGGATAAGTTCTGCCACATCCACCTCAACAAAAATTTGGATATTCAACTCAAATTTCAATTCAGTTTAGTTATATGGGGCAGAGACTGGGAGAGTATCCAAAGCAAGTACAGCGAAGATAGAGACCTTCATAAACAAGTGCTTTCGCCTAATAGTGAAAATCATCTGGTTAAATACACTCTAAAACGTGTAGTTAAAATATAAACAGCCCATTCAATCACTAATAGTAGTTATCAAACATGGAAAATAGTGATCTTGTTCCATGTGATAAGAATGAGAGCAGATACATAGGCTTAAAAGGCACTGACAAGAACAGGTAAAAAAAAAGACAGCTAAAAGCAACATAGATATCAATGTAGGTTCGGTTAAATGAGACGACTAACATTTTAACGGGAGGGGTTATAGATAGAGGCGGGTCCAATGGCGCTTTATTTTGTTCCACATATAGTAATGAAAAAAAATAAAGATGTTAAAACTGAATCATCTTGACTGTTTACATACGATTAAAACAAGAATGCTGTTCATTTTTATGTTTTGATATATGCTATTGTATGATTTCGGTCGTATTTGGGATCATTACTATTTATTTTCGATTTATCTAACTACAGTGACGTGAAAATACACGATTTATTATTTTTACGAATGTATGGATTGTGTAATTGAATATACACGCACTACAAGTTCATGCGATGTAGCTGAATGATGTAAATTATTTTAATTTACTTAGGCAGAAGGGGAATGGGAAGATGTGACATTTTTATTAATGTTTATGCTCTAATAAAGGTCATGTAACCCAGTAGCTTTCAAAAATTGAATGACAACATTTTGTAAAAACGCTTTTAAAATTTCAAAAGAATCTTCGCCAGATGGAGCGACTAAACGATACCAGGTATTTGCAGAAGGCTATACGCCCACTTGTTAACCCAGTTACACGGGTATCTCCTGATTCCGGGTTCACTAATTTGTAATACTTTATTATATATCTTGCATGAACAGTATTTACAATGTCAGTGGCATTATTAGCTCTCTCCTCTCTCTCTGTATATATATATATATATATATATATATATATATATATATATATATATAAAGCAATGTATGTCTGTGTATCTGTCTTTTATGCATTACGTCACCTCTCATCACATCGCCATCAAACTTTGGGAAAATGTTAAGAACATTTTTAAATTCGTAGGGGTGGTGTCCTGGCAGTGCACAATTTGTTTCTCTCTATATATGGTATATAGAAAAGCAAGTCGACTTTGGTTTGACGCCATTCATCCGAACGCCATCAAACTTTTGTGAGTTCATTAGATTACTCTGGGAAAGGGTTCGGTAAAAATAAATAATTTTAATTATAGTATATAAAAATAATATGTGAATTGCAGTGACACCGTTCAGACGATCGCCGTAAAATTTCGGGAAGATGTTGAGAATATTCATTGGGAGGTTTCTGCGTAAAATTTTTTTTAAAATTTGCAGGGGTGGCGATTTTTTTCTTCTCTATATACGGTATATAAAAATAAAACGATTGCTTTTCGACGCAGTTTATCCGGATGCCATAAAACATTTAAGGGAGTTTATGAATACTCCCAAGATGGTTTCTAGGGGGTGGGGTGGGTGTGTGGTGGTGGAAGGGGGGATTTAATTTTGCATGGGCGGCCCCTCCGGCAGGATGCGATTTGGCGCCCTGGTTTTTCCCGTGAACGCTATGGCGAATTCGTTTGGGCTAAACAGTGTCATAGAAAGTGTGATAGGATGGGGCGTTACAAACACTCACTAAGACGTGTCCGCCGGCGCCCTGGTAGGATGCGATTTGGTTGCAAAGAAAACTTCAGTTTAGGCCACCCATAGGCTCACATAGACCGCTGAGGGCCATGTAATACATTTTATTTTTATAATCAGAAAAATTAAAAAAAGGTTAGATTATTAACTGGGATTTTTTTTTGGTCGTAAAAAAAAATTCCAATTTTTTAGTCCCTATGCGAATGATGCAATTAGTATCTATTTTTAGACAATCCAATCAGAAATTGAGATCGAGCATCTAATAATAAACAATTAATAACGCTAACATAATGCATCAGTCACACTGATGTTTAAAACACGTCAAATAATTTTTTTACGTGCTAAAGAAAAAATCCTGTTCATTTGAGTCACTTTAGCGAATGACGCAATCTGCATCATTGTTAACAGGATGATATTTGACACTCTGGGTTATCCTATGAGCTCGGGTACGCTAGTATATATATATATATATATATATATATATATATATATATATATATATATATATATATATATATATATATATATATATATATATATATATATATATATATATATATATATATATATATATTTATTTATTTATTTTTTTATTTTTTTATTTTTTTATTTTTTTATTTATTTATGTATATATGATCTTTTATTCGCACTTGATTCTTATAGTCTGGGATTGAATTTAAATTTTAGTAAGAAGTCGAGAGCTTCTTGAATTGCTTGGCAGAAAGTTTGGGTGTGTGACTGCTAACTTAAGAGTCTAGAATTCGTGTCCTTAGCCGTAGCTCATAGACTCCCCCCCCCCCTGCTTATCCACTGACGTTTACGTTTGAGAAAGTAAAGACAGCTGTACATCGTGTTGACCAAACTATCTGTTCACGGGTTGAGGCATTCAAAGTGCTGAACTTTACTTTATCTACCCAATGGACCTCAGGTTCGAAAGAGCATCTTTTATATAATATGTACTACATACACAAAAAAAAACATGTTGGTACACAAAAGCGATTTTAAAAAAATGTTATTACACTTGCAGGCATATGACTACTGTTGGAATCTGGCTGTCCGTATAAAAGCGCGCATTTTTATTTCAAACAAACTAGGTCAAAAGGCCGCACCTTGTCTGAACACAACCGGTTCAACCTGTTATTTAATCATAGTTTCTGGCCTTTTTTCTACGAAATCTTGCTTAAAGATGTTTTTAAAATAGCTACATTTACCTTTTAACGAAACAGAGCTGACGTTTTTGTTGAGGTAGATCTAAAACTAAAATAAACACGTTTTTAATTAATGAAGGATCCAAAAATGTTTTTACTTTCCTGTATACATAGTAGGCCTATAGGGTAAGTATTTTAATTGTGCACAAAAATCACTTTAAATTTTCACAGTTTTACACCTCAGTTCTTCAGCATATACGGAATATAGGGGACTAATTTTTTATTTTATTCAGACAAAAATTCTAAATCCCGATGTATCAAAATTTCGTCATTTTCCGTGTGATCGAGTCGGGAACACTAGGCTTTGCAATTCTGTCTGTATGTATGTGTGTCAGAGAACTCGATAATTAGAATACCGTTAAAGTTAGGTTGATGGAATTTCATATATTAGTATTACATCAAATGTGTAGTTATGTATCAATTTTTTAGCAATATCCTATAACCGGAAGTGGAATTTATTCTACTTTCAGTATTTCAAAAGTCTATAATTTGGTTACTGTTTCTTATAGATAAGTAAAATTTCATATATAAAGATCTAGGGATAAGATTTAACCACCGTTTACCTTCGTGGAGTCGGGTTTAGTGACGGCTATTAGGGGCAGATAATTTAGTTTGAAACGCTTTTAAACGTTGGGGGGGGGGGGGGAGGAAGGAGGTGGGTTATGGTCCTTAACGAGCTACTTATAGTGTTTTAAAGAAATATTTTCAGTGTCAGCGTTGGTACTGTCGAATTCACAAATTATGAATTACTGAAAAGTAGAAAAAACAACAACTAAATAGCGGCGTATGTTATGCCGCGGGCCGGCTCGTATACACAATTTTAAGTACGAAAAGTGTGGTAATGTTAAAAATATTAGAAACAGAAATTAAATTGGTACAGTTAACATAATATTAAAATAAGAGCGTTAAACTAGTATATTAATAAAGCACATGCATTATAGTTTATTTAATGTATTTTTTGTACTTACCTATTCCGCAAAATACAAGTGAAAACCAAAGAAGAGCGTGCCGCTTCATTCTGAAACACAGTATAGGCAATGTTCCTTTTTCAACCTGCTTTGATAAACGGCTGTTAATTGGGAGTTTATGATATACAATTCCCGGTTGCCCTACTCTACGAACATTAAGGTGAAGCGTTTATATACATTTCTAAGGTGTGCCATGCGCAATGTCCAAGCGCATGTGTGTTGCGCAGGTGGTTGTTGGGTGTTCACTTAGCGACGATTTCTATTGGTTGCCCTTGTTTCCATTGAAACGGTGGAGTCGATTTCTTTCCTAGTGTACCCCACGCCTCAAGCAAGCGCAAGCTGCTTTAAAAAATTGATCTGATCGATAAGCTCAGTGTTTCTTCCAGACTTTTTTTCTCCGGGGGGGGGGGGGGGGGGGTAATTGAAATTTTTGGGTGGGGGGGGGGGGGCGGACACTGTTAAAAGTATATATTTTCTATATAATTTATATAAATTTCATTTCATTCGGTGGGGGGGGGGGGCTTTGCCTGGAAGAAACTCTGGATAACTTTTCGGGTATACTTAATGATACTAAATTAATTGTAAACAAAAAAGGGACATTAAATTTTATTTTAATTTTCAAACATATTTTATAATTCTTTTTTTTTAATGTGTCAGTATTTGAAGTAAAAGGTTCGTATACATGAATCAGCGGCATAAACAAGAATTAGTCATTGGTACTGTTTACAAAATCTCTAGGAAAAAAATTAAAATCGATCCATAGATGTTTGTAATATTGTGTCGATCTTTTGAAGAACCATCACCTTTTCCATAGAGCAATCTATTGATTTTGCAGATATCTGTTTCCACATTTTTTTTCATAGTTTTAAAAGTTAATAAAAACTGTTTTGAGATTTTGGGTTAATATTTAAACAAAAATTTACAAGCACATGCCTAACACATTTTCTATTTTTAAACAATTTACATGGCTCCGTAATTTAATCTGTGAGTAGCTATCGAGTTGATTTAAAAATTCATTAAGCTGCCTGAAAAAAGAGTTACATTTCAAGTAATCTGAACTCTAGCTACTAATAAAATGTCAGCTCATCAATCCGTGTTGAAGATTAGAACACAGTGTGTCATTCATCTAAGATAATGTGGGCGCAATAGTAGATGAACACGTGAAAAGAATTCAATGTGTAGGTCTTTATATTTATATTTATATTTATATACACCTCCTAATTTTTTGTTATTTGAGCGTGTGTTACACATATGTAGGTTGGAAAGAGATGTTACGTATGTGGTTAGCAGAGTCTAGCAATATTATTCTATTATGTACATTCTACACGTTGACACCTGTTTGATTACGTCACCTAGTATCACTGTAACAGACTGAATTATTATGTATATTGTAATTGACATGAAGTTGCGATAATGTAGAGTACCTGGCCAACGGAAGTAAGTGTGAGCGACTCGTCATGTGCTTGCTTGTGAATGTGTAGTAGGATGTCACCACATTACTTTGATTCTTGATTGCACTTGTACCAGCTGTTTTTCTTCTACTATGAATTTATCATTTCATGGTGGATAGTGTAAAGTGTAAATAAAGTTTAAAGTTTAAAGTTACTACTATTACTCGTGTTCTTGTATCAAACGAACCCACAACAACAATGGATATTACTGTTCACTCTTCATCGAATACCAATTCTAAATTTTAAATACGTTGTTTGCATTAGATACCAGTTTAAACAACACACCCAATCCCTATCAACAATACATGGCTTGTGTAACGGCTTGTTTTGTCCCCCCCCCCCCCCCCCCCACCTAGCAGCCAAGCTAAGCGATTTAAAAAAACATCTGCCTAAAAAGATATTGTTTTACGAGAACAAAACATTTGTGATTTTTATTTTCAAAAATTTATATTTTCAGCAATAATGGTTTCGTAGGGTGTGGTAATAACACATTGCTTAATCTTCCCACAGGATCTGTAAGTTATTTATAAACTAGCTCAATTGTATGACAGTTGAGGGGACATGACAAAAAACTTATTATAACACAAGCTACATTCACCGAAGCGTTGATGTAACTATCGAAGCATGCACACATGTAAAACAGTTACGGTCTATTGACAAAACGCAGTTCATGATAATAACTGTTTAACGAGATGAAACGATAACATTCCTGTAGTCTTGGCACTTCAGCAGCAAAATACTAGTATTACTCGAAATCGGAGGCGAACTTTCAGTTTGGTATATATATATATATATATATATATATATATATATATATATATATATATATATATATATATTTATTTATATATATATATATATATATATATATATATATATATGACGTCTTTTATTACCACTTGCCGCACCCCCTAACCCGAAAATCTGTATTTGCCTCCAGTGTGGATTGATAAGGGAATATGTGTTGTTTGTCTAGAGAATATTTGTGGCTTGTTTAGAGAATATGTGTGGTTTGTCTAGAGAATATTTGTGGTTTGTTTAGAGAATATGTGTTGATTGTTAAGATAATATTTGTGGTTTTTTTCTAGAGAATATGAGCTGATTGTATAAGGAAGTGTAACTGGTTACGTTATTAAGCTTGGCATTTGTGGGAATTAGATTAGATAAAGACAACATTTATATGTATAAAGCTCACATAACTGGTTACAACAAGCCTTATCAAACATAGCGTTTGACGAGTGAATGATTCTTTTAACCGCTATACAAATACTACACTTAGACAAAACAAACCACGAACGTCAGGAGTAGCGATTTCGATGGGTTATAGAGATAAGTCAATATGGCTATAGAGATAAATCAACCAAGCGAAGTTACGCTACAAGAAGTTATTTTAGACAAGCTTAAATAAGTGTCTTAATGTGTGCATGCGTTAATGTGCGTATAAGTATGTATGGGTGTAAGGGTGTGTGTGTTGTTTGTATGTGTATATGCGTTTGAGTGTGTATTTATGCATGTGTGTATGTGTGCATGAGTGCGTGTATGGGGAGTGCTGGTCGGTAGTGTGGGTAAAACCTTGCCCCGGAAAATAAGATCTAAGAAATATAGTGCAGGTTTTTTTTTCACGTATAAATAACTCTGTTTTAGAAAACAAGGCAGAGGCGTAGCGAGGGGGGGGGGGGGGGCTGTGTGACATATGTCCCCAGGCGCCGACCTTAGGGGGGCGCCAAAAATGGGTTGGAAAAAATAAATTGAAAGATTGAGGGGGATGCAAATAAAAAAAATTGAGGGGGGGTTGCAAATCGACAGTTTGAGAGAGGGGGGGGGGGGGGCAAATCGTAAATCTTGAAAGGGAGGTGCAAATCGAAAGGTTGTCCTCGGGCGCCGGAAGGGTCGCTACGCCTCTGAACAAGGTGACACGTCTAAGAAAATAGGATTGGTAATGTTTTGATGAAACCAACCTAAAATAATGCCTCGGCAACGGAATTGGACAAGGCTTAGATCTACAGTTTACGGAATGCGACCAGTCTTAGATCAACGGAATACGGGGTATGGACCAGTCATTAGTCTACGGATTTACGGTATAAGGAATAGGACCTGCTTTTGGTGTTCAGTATACGGTATAGAACCAACCTTAAGTCTATGCCATATGAAATACGACCAGTGTTAGGTTTACGGCATGAGGAATACGATCAGTCTCAGGTGTACATAAATAGACCAGTTTTAGGTCTACGGTATACGGAATATGACCAGTCATAGGACGTCTTTTGTCTACCGGCATGCTCAATAGAACCAATATAAGGTCTACTATAGGACCACTCTAGGCTAGTGTTCAGTGTCGTCTAAATACTTTCGTTGCCAATGCCCGACGCATTGTTTAAAACTCACTTTATTCAGTCATATTTAATCAAGCTGAAAAATCGTTTGTAATACACTGCACAAAAAACCAGGACAAAAAATAATTGATGAGCACAATTTTATAACCATGATAATCGAAGTCACTTGTTGTGTTTCAATTTGTAGTTATTCTTTAAATAAAGGTAAAACAATGCTAATATGTTGATTATAATGTTGTTGGATACAGAATATTTGAAAAATCAGTTCACGATATATTTTTCAACTTTTGAGCGATTTCTGATAACCGGAATTGGAACTTTTTTTACTTTGAATTTTTCAAACAGTATAACTTGAGTACTATTTCAGTTTGATAAATGTAGTTTCACACGTAAGTAAACGATTTTAATTTTTCTTCCTTCTGTCAAATTTTGAATAATTTCCGTTGACCGGAAGTAGTAAATTTCGCTATTCACAAATTTCTCAAAAAACGCATGTGAATTTATAAAGTACTAATAATATTCCGCACTATTATTCACATGTCATTTGACTTTCACTTGGTGTGCAATTCTTTTTTTTCTACGAGATTTTATTCTATTTTAAAAAGTTTAAGTATTTAAAATGGATAACAAATCATATCTATATATCGAGTTGTCATCCCCTGTTATTTCATATTAGAAAATTCGAGAAAGTTTAGGGGAGATCACTCCCGGTTTATTTAAAGCTGCCACTCTCCTTTTCACTTTGATTAAACACCTCAACTCTAAAACACAACAATACAGTTCACAATTCGTGTTAGAAGCGGGCATCGATTGTTTAACACATATGGTGTTTTGAGTAATGGTTAACTGTAGATTGAATAGGGAATAGCTAGCACAATAAAGTTTGTTGATACTCGCAATCAACAGTATTACATTTCATAAATCTTTATGCCACGGCGCCACCAACATATAGGTCTAATGAATAACATTTTTCTTATCCAATTGAAACTTCAAACATGTCTCTGGTCGAGGTAGTGGAGCTATCTTCATTTTTGTACATTATATTCACCGGGACACAAGAAGATTCTTAAGTCCCTGCAGCAGTGCGGACATTTCACTAAAAACCATTGGATTATGATTATATATATATATATATATATATATATATATATATAATATATATATATATATATATATAATAATATATAAATATATATATATATATATATATATATATATATATATATATATATATATATATATATATATATATCTATATATATATATATATATATATTATATATATATTATTATTAATATTTATATATTATAATATATATATATTTATATATATATATAT